TATAGCACTGAACCGAAGTCGGTGGCGTGAATGCATCCATTTTGTGTGCTATCCCAAGAATAACAAAAATTCAAAACGACCTGCAGTAAACAAATAAAAAATTCGTTATTCCCAAAGTTGACTGTGTTTTTTGTTGTTCGACTTTATTTTGGTGCCGTTAACATATATATATATATATAATATACAGTACTGGCCGAATGTGATACACTAAAATATTTTCTTTATGATCAAATGGAGTTTCATTGTATTTATCACCTGTATTAATGCTTTAGGTATGGACAATAATTTATATCCTGTCTACTTCGATGCACGTATTCTCTGGGCTGCATGAGTGTCAGTTGAACGTGCCTGACCTTGATTGCCAAGATTAAATGATCTGAACATAAAAACCGCAAACTGCATCAAGTATGACAACGCAATATTTTATAACAGGAATGACTCAAGAATTATCCCAAATTACTTCCATAAATCCTTGCCATCTTGGTTATTTGTTATGAGGCATTATTTTATCTACTTTATAATCCATTATAGCAACTCTATTGGATAACCAAATGAAATCCTTTCACAGTCCAGAGAAATTGCATTAAATAAGGTTTCATAATAATAATCTATGTTTAATATCTAACTCAGTCAATTCGAGAAGTACCACCTCAATCAAAGTCAACCTTGAAATCAAGGTCATTTTTGTGCACAGCTTTGAATGTTCGTATTGTTGTCACCATAATGAAGCAAGCAGCGATCGAAACCAAAAGTTCCCGTAATCTTAGTGAAGTGGACGGAAACAGAATTGCACGAGCACACAATCTGGGATTTTTCATATGGAATGTTGCCCATTGCTTTAACATTAACAAAATCACAATTTACAGGATAATTCATGGGAAAACAACAACCAGAGTAGCTTGTGGAGACAGTAAACCAAGTACATCCAAACAGGAGGACGACCTGATTCGTATTACTCTGAAAAAAGGTTTGCAGAAAATCGTTGTCGTCTACCCAACGGGAAGATCTTCCCCGCCATTCATACTCCCTTTTGCAAAGAAGAATGAACAAATTTAAGATTCGTCAGGTCTCAGCTGACGTCAAGCCAGCATTGAACACGCAATGAAGGTAGGCGCGCATTGATTTTGCCCAAGAATTCAACTCTCGATGTGCGTCATTTCGGCGATCGATTTATTTCGCCGACGAGTGCATGGTGTGCGACGAGCCTTGGAAGGCTCACACAAAAGTCATTTTTAGTGAGAATTTCCCAAAAGAACTTATTCCACCAAATGAAAGAGTTTCTCACTCGTCGAGATTGCTCATTTGGGCAGGGATAAAACATTGTCAGCCTTGTCGGTGGATATTAATCAAAGGCACGATGAACAGTGCAAAATTTGCATCAGTCATTTCGAAAATGTTTCCGGAATTTCATGAAAAAAATCGTCTGAAGAAATTATCGTTTTCCAGAATAACGCTCCGTTTCATGTTCCACGAGAGGATGGTAAATTTATTTAGTTAAGTAGTCTGATCCATTTATTATTTGTCTTCAGAATTCAGAAAAGATATGTGACTCTATGGTCCAATTCATGCAACTTGCTCCTAATATCCCGGCTCTTNAGCCTTGGAAGGCTCACACAAAAGTCATTTTTAGTGAGAATTTCCCAAAAAGACTTATTCCAATTTCTGAACCATTCCACGTCCTGAGTATAAAGAAATCAGGAAAACCACGGCTATAAACACTCACATACCTATTTATTATTATTTAGTAAAAAAATTTATTTCAGTATAAACGTGTTCAAATAGTTGTTTGGCAGATTTGAAGTTTCTATGTCGATTGTGAAAAGTTCAGTAGCCTGGGTGGGGTTCGAACCCACGCACGGACACCGCCTACGCTTTGTACGCGCATGCTCTACCAGCTGAGCNTCTTTTTCACATTCGAATTTACCCATCCAACTTACAGAGGCATGTGGCATCCACCAGTTAGCATGTAAGCTGACTGCCTCGACAGGTTTTGCTTAGAATTCACCGCATGCGCGTACAAAGCGTAGGCGGTGTCCATGCGTGGGTTCCAACCCCACCGAGGCTACTTGCGCGTACAAAGCGTAGGCGGCGTCCATGCGTCGGTTCCAATCCCACCGAGGCTACTGATGATTGGAATGTGAAAAGATCAGTGCTATCGGTGTGGCCTCGTAGCTCAGCTGGTAGAGCATGCGGCGTAGGCGGTGTCCATGCGTGGGTTCGAATCCCACCGAGGCTACTGAACTTTTCACAATGGACATATAAACGCTGTTGCCTATACGAACCCACAAGTGTTTCACAGGGATCCATTGCTTCGGTTTCGATTTGACCTGTGTTAATAGTAGTAGTAGTGCGCAATGAACGCGGAATACGAATCACTGGTTAGCTATCACAGACGTCACGTACGCATTGGATCACACTGGCACTTGCATGCAATATCCCACATAACCGAGGGGCGAGGAAAAATGCCACAGGAGTAGTAGTTCGTTTATTGACAGAAATAAAGGATATGTACAAAACATTCTCATTGGTCATCCAGGCGTCTGCCAATCGCTTTCTAGTGTTTCTGCCCGTTTCCAGCTGCTGTCTGGGCAGCACAGTTTCTGATTGTTTGATACAATCTGCCTATGGTTTGTAGTTCGGAAGCTGTGGCACGCACGCGCTTGTTGACATCACCCATGAAGCTCATGTAATGATTATAGTAGTTGTAGTAGTAGTATTACACACGGAACTCGGAACACGAATTACGCAATACGAATCACAGGACACGAATCAAGGATCAGCTATCACGGACTGGATTACGGAAACACTAGACAGCAATGGCACTAGCACACAATGTCCCGCGTAACTGAGACACGAGGAAAAGGCCACAAGAATGGTAGTTCGTAGTTTGTTTATTGGGGGAAATAAAGGCGATTAAATAATATGTACAAAAGAAGATAATGGGTTATCCAGGCTTGCACCAATCGTATTGCAGTATTGCTTGCATCATTCTGCTTCTGTCTGGATTGTACTGCCCCGGATTGGCTGGCACGATCTACTTATGGTGTGTAGTCGGAAGCAGTGACACGTACGCGAGTCATTGACGTCACCTTTCAAATTCGATTGATCGCAGGTGTCCGAAAACTGTAACGTGTCGCTCCAGGGCATGCGTCATCTCGCAGGCTAGGATCACCACAAGAAGATCTAAAACACAATCCTGATATTCCTAAGTGGGCTATTTTTTGTAGGCGGCACAACTCTCACAAAGTTTTCAACAAGCCTTCCCATCTCCTTGTGTGTCATGGTGATAACCATCTCGCTAATTGAGAATGCAATCCGCTTCACAGTACAGTGTCAGCTCCCCCCCTGTCCGGCCCCGTGGAGCTATCTGAAAAATTGGTCGCTCTCTAGTCGGAAATACATGATTCGTACCAATGAAATCCCCAGGAGTGAACGTTCCCTTCGACAGAACACGATCACCAGATGACCACTTGACCACAAACCGACGGGAAATCAAAATTCCCGAGTATTTGTGTCCCTCTGTTTTCCCATGAGGCGGGTTACTGTAAGCGCTAAATCATTTGAAACAGTTGTTGTTGTTGCTGTCACGTGCAACAAAGACCGTTCCATCCAGTAGGTAACCCAAATGGTAACCACTCCAGGATAAGAAAGCGGTGCGTACGGAATCAGTACAGTTGTCATTATCATCACTAACAATATTTCAGAGTATTGGTTATCATTGTTCTGTCGGCATAATGCTTTTACATACTGCCCACTTTCGTTGTCCCCACATTGTTCTCTTGGCTCCATTCAAGCATAGCCATCGAAGCACACACACAGAATAAGATGAGATGAACAACAATATTGGAATATTGTGTGGTTGTCAGTAAAGAATAACTTATTAGTTACTGAGACAGAAAAATCGAAATAGTATCAAGAGCAGGCCGCAGATGCTCCCAAATATGTTGTGCAGTTAAATGTGTGTTAAATTCCGAATGGAACCTAAAATCTGACTGAGTGAGTACAAAATGTTAGTAGTTCAGATGTTTCCCAGTGTTTCGATTGCAACCAAAGCATCATTGAGCCATGCCACGTCCAACAGTTTTTCAGGCTGAGACCACTATGACTGTACATATATTCTGTGGTACAAAAAAAGAAGACAGTTGTAATCAGAACTTCATCCACATTGAAGAACATCTGTATTCACCGTATTTTGACAGTTCTGTGTGTGTATTTGTGGACTACTGAGCAACGGACACATTTTTACGGACGCTCGGTTAGAATCTGTCTGGAATTACTTCTAGTGATACTTTTCGTTTGGAGTATAGCATTGATGGAAGCAAAAAAGAACTCTGGTCGGGTCTACTGCATTACTTGCTAGTCACACCACATAAGTGTGTTAAGATCTGTGATAGGATAATCGTAAACAGTAAAGTTTACACATTTGTTGGACTCGTCCCCTCTCTCTTGTTGTCTGGCTTAGGTTTATACGAGAAACCATTGTGCACACAGACACACTAAATTTAAACCATATGTCATATTTCAGTCATTTTTGGCTGATCAAGGTGTTTTCTTTTTTTCTGTTCAGATTCACCTAAGTACAATGTTCCAGTAAAGGGTTTAGTGGAAATAAGGATTATTGTCTTGAATGGTCATTAATTTCATAGTTCGCTCATTCATTTGGTATTCGAGCGCTAACGGAAATATCTGACGCGGAACGCTCGTCGATATCGATACAATGAGAGTAAGAACACGAGCTAAGAAATAAATAAACAACGATGGTCTATCACAGACAGCTGTGGTGTCTTGGGGCTGAAGTGGTTGTGCTTAGTCGAATTCATAGGCGGTGATGGTGGGGTGGGGATCATCGATAGGAAGTAGCAGAACGACTGAATGAATTGAGCGAATGAAGACAAAAATGAAATTTGGACGGAAATGTTGGAGAACTGGTCAGAGTGAAATGCAGCAATAATAGCCTGGTCAGTCAATTTATATGTGATTCCTATCGTTCGTTGTTCCTGTTAAGCTAGTCCTATGATGGCAACAGTTCCACTGGAGCATCCGGCACCAATGTAGCGTCCATCGAGAATTGTATCCAATGTCTGCACCACAGAATCCATAGGGACACGGGCAATCGGCTGTGAAAGGAAACGAAGGATACAACATGCTATAGTCGTTAGATTATATTCGAAAACAATAACAGGATCACAAAAAGCCAGTTCAATTTAGCACCATTTGAATACCATCTGCTACGTTGAAATTGTTATGACCTACAGTTGAATGCAACGTGTTTCGTACATGCCTAAACGAACATCTATAACTGTATTCCGTTTATTATTCTTTCTCCTCCGTGAAATACTTATTCCCTACTTAGTTGGGAAAGGAGAGGTGATGGTGTGGCCTACAAGTGACTGGTAAGTTTGTCTTGAATACCTGTGGCCGAATTGATTGATTGATCGACTGAGTGACAGATGCTGTCTGCAAGCACACGCACGCACTTACGCCAGATGACTGACTCTACGTCAGTATCGATTGGCTCCAGCCAATCAGATATTAGTATTGAACTATTCTCGTTGATTGACTGGTTGATTGTTTGAATATCAGCTTGGGGACATACGGATGTTGTGTGATGCTTAAGTCAGTTGTCGGACAGTCTGGTTACCCGATTCTGCTTGCTCACCGGTCTGTGGACCGGCTACATATGTGCCCTCTACAATAAGCGTACTGCCTAATTCACTGCGTACTTATCGACCTATTTAAACAGCGACAAAACAGAATTTTACATGACAGAGTGGAGAGCGCGTTTATCAAAGGATTTTAAGAAAGTGTGTAAAAAGTTTGATTTCGGTCCGCGCAATTAAACGCTGAAAGTTCAATAAGTTCGTTTGAACGAGCCGGAAACAATATACACGTAGTGTTAATTATGCGACATTTGGACTGATAATTCATCGTTCGGGAATTCAGTTAACCATAAACTCGGACAGTCAATACTGGACTCGATGTTTCCTCTTGTTCGAGCTCATCAGTATTACGCCTCCGAAAGCCTCAGTATGGTCGGGGTGGTCGTCCTGAGTTGTGGCTGGACACCCTTCCCTCATACCTCCCGAAATACACCTAAACGACCAAGCGTTCCAAATAGCCTCTGCTGAGGAAGCCCCACTCACTGCCTTTTCGTAGCGGTGTTTTCCCCCACAAATGAGAGGGGACGATTGGCCGACATCCGGGTCAGTGAACCACTGGTAATTCATCTCGGGGAGTTGGCCAAAAATCCTGGTTCCAAACCGACCAAGAAGTGGCGTACGAACCCCACCTACCCACACCTTGGTTGTGGTAGTGGTCACCGGCTAAATTGGGTATCTAGTTGTATTGGGTACCTTGGACGATTGACCCCGTCCAAAGGGCGTAAGATCCGATGAACTGGACACCGGCCCCCAATGGATTGCGGTTTTCACACACCGCCCCGCTGCCTTGCCGGGCAAGGCTTTGGTTAACCGAAGGCTCCGGTTGTGAATGCATTAGAAAAATTCACCTTTTTTGATCTGATCAATCTACCAGTATTGCGCCCACACAGTCTGAACTGAAACGTGTGTGAAAATATGATATATGTAATATACATCAGTAGTGCAGTGCATATCAACTAATCTGTCTGGGATTTCGATTCTGGATCCTTTGCATAGACGGTGTGTTGCCTCTCTATGGAATCAGGGGCCTAAAATGCAGGAAGAACGACAACAGGCAGCTCACACCGGTACTGAACTATTTTACCGAATCAACATTCTTCAGATGACACAAAGCAGCGAACAAGCTCGTTCGTGGTGATTCTTCTACAGGCGAATACATCACAGTTTATATCAAACTGTTCAGTAGGAGAGAAACCATGACAAGTTGGAAAAAAAGTAATCGATATTCCAGTTTCATGTTGCTCACGCTTTGGTAGTCACAAATGCGCACTGGTTCGGGCCATTAAGGGTGGGTGGGGGCTTGGGTGTCTGTGTATTGTGTGGTGATGATCCCGAGACTTTATGGCTTACCAAAGATAAATAAAAATGGAGTGCCTCTCCGACCTAGACCTAGAGATGCGAAACTCCCCTTACCGTGCCATGGCTAAGTGGCTGGTAGCGACCCTGGAACCCGTGAGAGCACAACTCACCAATCCCACATTAAGGGATTCCTATGACTTGGTGGCTGAGATTAAAGACAAACATAAACGGAATACGCATGACATCACTCGACGTCAGTTCACTCTTCACAAACGCTGCCATTGCTGAAACTATTGAATACATATGGAACCACACACAAAGGAATAATTGTGAAATTGAAATACCAGTTGGTGATCTCAAACAATTACTATATTATTACACCATACAATTCAAATTCAATGACGAAGTTTATCGCTAAATAGATAGAGTAGCAATGGATCCAATGTTCGCAGATATCTCCATGGCAAAGCTGGAGAATAACATCCTAAAACGAACAATTGATCGTTGCACATTTTACAAGCGCTCTGTGGATTACACTTTGTGCTTTTTCAATGACAAAGTGAATCTGTCAAAACTCTTGAAAGTATTCAATTCAGTTCGTCCAAACATAAAGTTTACTCTAGAGAACGAAGAGAATGAGCAGATCTCATTTCTGGACGTTCTACTAAGCCGTCGACCAGACGAAACTATCCAACATACCATCTACAGGAAGCTATCGTGGAATAATCAGTATATCCATTTCAAAAGCTATGTGCCTTTGGGATGAAAAAGAAACCTGATTCAGTGTCTCGCTATCAGGGCGCGGACAATATGTGCGGACGATACCATTGATACAGAATTGAGGTTTATCTGAGAGGTTTTCCTTTGTAATGGATACCCAGAACGATTTGTGGACATTTCGAGGCGTCTCCGGTTGTCAAATCAGATCATTATTGCTGAGAAGAACCGATTTACATATCTCAGCCTCTTAAGGGCGACACAACTGCAGAGATGGTGACACGTAAAGTGAGTGCAGTTGTAGAAAAAGCATTCCCCGCCGGAAAACTGCATAATATTTTCATCACCAATCCACTTTTGTGCTTTCAACTCAAATATAAATTGCTTGTTTCTAACGTCTCTTTCTGTGTGTACTTATTTACTTGTTCCTGTGGAATAAGGTCTATTGGCCGCACGAGCAGACGTTTATCTGAACGAGCACCGCCCGGCCTTGTTAAATAGTGGAGTAATTAAGACTATCAACAGCTCGATCGTTTTACACCTAGTGGAATCAGACTATGTGGTTAATGTGGCCGAGGCGTTTTGACTCCTCTACTTAGTTCGCAGCTGTCGATCTAAGAGGATTAGAAGTCGCATTCTGACCACAGCAGAAGCGATCGAAATCCGCCTACATAATTCGCTCTGTGCTCTCAAAAGCAATTCGTAATAACACTCGGTTTTCCA